GTTAAGGTCTTTCTCAGCTGGAGCTAGAAAACTTAAACAAAATACTTTATAAAATACCTGAAAGAAACCTTATAAAAAAAACCTTAAATACCCTAAAGATTACCTTTTCGGTATGAAATTAGCATTTACAAATTCGGGAACCGTGAATTAATTCCGCCTTGCGCCATATTTGCGATCATAGATCCCAAAAATCTGAATTCCGATAAAAGTAAAGTTAGCAATAAAATTATTTAACGCGTTACGTGGCAAACATCGAGCCCAAAAATCGCTGCAAAGACGAGGTGATTTAAACCAACGAACGCGCTCGGGATTTCAAAACTTTCGCGTTCCGAAAGTCCAGCAAAGCAAATTCAGTTTGCGCGCGAACACATTCTAACGAAAGTTAATTTTGAGGGCTAGCCGAAAATTGATCGAGCCCTCGAAATACTTGTTCGACAACTTTTTCCGGCCGCGTATTTCGGAACATGCAGCGATCCGGTCGCTCGGACAATTTCGTTAGCGACCTCGCGTTACCGGAACGGGACGGTTAAAAAATCGTTGTTAGCTAAAGGGTGGACTCGTTAAATGGAACTGTGGTGCAAAAAAGAGAGAAAAAAAAAATATGCGAAATCAGCCCTCCGGTCAGCAGCCTCTATAGGTGCGGCCGCGCACGGCAGACTGTGGGTCGTCGGTTGCAGGCAGCGGGACGCCGTTCGAGTTCAACGTATACGTACGCCCCCGCACACGCAACAGAGGGTGAGTGTATCAAGTGCGCTGGCTGCACAGGGTGAACGGCCGGAGGTGACCGCATCCCGCACCCTCCAACCTGCATCGCTTCTGAGAGTCTCCTTCGGAAACTGGGGCTCGGTTCCACTATGCCAGGCAGCCGCTCTTCGATCCTTCCCTCCACCACCGAGATGACCTCACCTAGACGGTTCCTGACACCCACCGCGCCGGACTGTTAACGCTCGCTGTTTATCAACAATCCAAACGCCAGACCCTCCGACCGCGGTAATTTTCATCGAACGGCCCGATTTTTACGATCTTCCTCCGCCGTTGCGCATGCGACAAAAAGTTCGCGAGAAAATGATTCGACGCGTCGCGAGAAAATCGAGCCCAAAAATGGCTGCGAAGGCGATGCGATTTAACTAATTAATGTGGGCGGGATTTTGACACGTTTGCATTGCAAAAGTCCCAGTGGAATTCAGTTCGCACGAATATATTGTAACGAAAGTTTATTTTGAGGACTAAGTCGAAAATTAGCGTCGCACAGTTTTTGATGATTGGGTGGTAAAGTAATCTGATTAATAATTAACGATTGTGACTCGTTGGTTATTATAAATTGTTATAAATTGGTCGTGATAAATATCGAGTTGAAATTGGATTATTTTTTGCCCAACTCTGCATCCGAACTTAACGAATTTAATTTTTATAAAAATATTTAAGCAATTTAGGTATAAATTATGCATATTAAAAAATAGATGTATTCTATGCTGAATATAAAAAAGTATAAAAAAATACATTATATATTTTGTTGGAGGGAGAAGTAAATGTTTACACAGCTTTTTTTTGCAAACGTTGGAGAACTTTTTTATTCCATGTAGAAATCCGCAATCGGATAATGAGTAGACTGCGGATCTTCATGCAGATACTGATTGTTTTGTGTTGTAGAAACTCCAAAGTAGAATCTAGTTAAATGTCAATACTTACCTTGTATCATTTTGTATCATTTTGTATCATTTTGTATAGTCGAAATTTTTAAAAATGCACGAAAATAGGTTTTCCCGAGGATTAGTCAGAGCTTTGAATTTTGTATCGCGTTCAGTAATTTTTGGGACACAGTCGAAATACCCTAGCAGTTGCAGCCGAAAGTGGATGTACCCGAACGAAAGGATCGATACGTATGTGGCGAATCCACACAGGCCTAAAATATTCTCGCTTGTATAAACACGAAATCCTGTCGTTCGAGGTGCAACATTTCGCCAAATTTTTTATACTTTTAACACCGGATTCGCGGAGCACTAAAAACAGCTTCTCTCTGTTAATTCATAATAGTAACAATGAGACGTTCATCCAGATTTTTAACGAGTGTCATTGCAATATTTCGTAATATTTTATTTTATTGTGTAATATTTTGTAAATTAAAAAAAGTACGCAAGCACACTGTTTGGTAATCGTGTTTATCGGCGGTGTTTGTTATTAATGTTATTAATAAATCTGTGAACTAGATTATAGAAAAAAAAAGGATAATTCGATGACAGATCTACGGTCGTGTCAATGTGTAACATTGACAACAACAATTTATTAAATACGAAAGCGAGAACGCTGCAGAAATATTACTTCACCTTGGACAATGCGTTCCATCGCGAAAAGATTATCAAAACCTAACACCGTGTAAAGGAGTTACAGCCTTTATACTTAATCGAACGGAAGCTTCACCTTGAATGGGAAAATGGGACAGAATCTAGGCCGCGTGTCATTTTGTACACCGGTGAATGTTTTTTTCGAGATCGAATCGTCTCGGCGCAAGGTGAATACATTTAATATTGACGGATAACATAATTTTCGAAAAATATAGATTGTGCTACAAGTTTGGGACATTTCGGTCACCGCAGCGGCAAGGTGTTTCTTCAAGTATAAAATTTCATTCCAAAACGTTCCACGATGAACAGTAAGCACCCCGCTGTTATTTTTCAATCTTATTTACCGCGATATTCCTCCAGCGATGAGTTTCCTTTCAAAGCGACCGCGGAGGATCGTTCATTCGAAAATCCGCATTGTCACATCATTCCGCAAGATTCGACGAATCCGGCTTTCCTGTTCTCACAAATGAATTCTAATTCTAATTACTAATTTCGCTGACGAACTATTCGAATATCAGACGAACACTGATACTATAAATATTCTGTGCGTGGTTGAACAATATTCTAATTTAATCAAGTTAAACATGTCGCTGAACGTGGACATTTCCAGTGCATCCAGTGCATGGAAATGTGTGCTGATCACTAGAGAGTGTCCCATAATTATGTTAACACCTGGAAGAGGGAGATTCCTGAGATCATTTGAAGTAACTTTTTCCTCAACGAAAATGCAATCCGCGGCTTCGTTGACGAGTTATTAGCGAAAAACGGTGACCAATGAGAGGCGAGCTCGGCTGGCTCGGTCGACGCCCAGTTCCGCTCATTGGCTCGGCCGCCTCGCGTCAGCTGATCTCGCGAGCCGAGCTCGCCTCTCATTGGTCACTGTTTTTCTTTAATAACTCGTAAACGAAGCCGCGGATTGCATTTTTGCTAAGGAAAAAGTTACTTCAAATCACCTCAGGAATCACCCCTTTCCGGGAGCAAACGTCATGGAACACCCTGTATACAAAACTCGCGATAATTATGAAGGACCCACGATCATGATATCGAACTCACGATCCAGAGTTAAACATTATCCGAATAAATTTTTCGAGTATAATTTTAGTCCGAATAAAATTGTATTCGAATAACATATATCGAATAAAAAATATTCCGAGTGAAGTCTTATTCGAACAATGCATCGAACGAATTCCACGAATAAAGTCTTATTCGAACAACACATCGAACGAATTCCACGAATAAAATTAGTTGTATTATTAGTAGTATTTATTGTTCGAACAAAAATACGCCACTCTATGCGTGTTCCGCGATCGCTGCATATGCAAGAGTTAAAATTACTATACGGGATTCCCGATGCACTCGCGGGAATCGCGTCGACGGCATCCACGGGGCCGGGACATTATTTTTCAATCAGCCCCGCAATTAAAGGGAAAGGTTCTGCGCGCGGGTCGGCCGGCCCGCCAGCTAGAATCCCGTGATAAATCATCGACCCTGACACATATCGCGGCGACATACGGGAATATGTGTCAGCGCACATGAACGGGCACGGTCATGGATGCATTCGAATAGGTTTGCAATACAGGCACCGCGGCGCACGCACCCACACCGCCCCGCCGATCGCCTGTACCGGTTGAATATGTCTATTCAGTCTGCCTTTGTCACGGCGTTGCTAACCGTCACATGCTTTGTGCACACTTAATTACACGTTATTGCGCTCCGGAGGACGCCGCTAAGTTTTCCCTCTTGCGACCGCGCCGGGAGCCGATGCACGGCCACCACATTCGGCCACCGTGTTCACACCGTTGTCCCACCCATCGGTATTTTACGCCCTGACCCTGCCACCTGGGTCGCAACGCGCATTTTCGAAACATTTGACTCTATTTTTCCGCTTGAATGAGCCGTTTATTTTGAAAGTGGCATAAGTCACTTTGTTTTTAAGTCGATGTATTTAAGGGTTTGCGTTTTAACACGTTTAAAAATATGGATGCTAACGTTCGAGAAGATTTACTTGTATTTGTTATCTCAGGATACCGATATTTTTCTCAGTATAAATAATTTCGTATAAACATTAAAAAATCACCACTATTCATTACGGTGAAGTGGCTTATGCCACTTTCAAAATAAACGGCTCAAATATCCGCGACAAATTCTCCCTAATTGTCGCTCAGCTTGGAAACGAAGGAGGACAATTTGGGAAGAGGAGATACGATTATTCGAGCCGCATAGCTCTTTTTTATAGTCTTTTATACTCTTTTATAGTCTTATATACTCTTATATACTTTTATATACTTTTCACAAATTGTCTATTTTTTGTACAAACCGAGCGTCAATTAGGGAGAATTGGCAGACCGATATTTGACAGGCCGATTCCACTTTCGACGCATCGTTCAAGTCATTTTTGCTCGGAAACGCGATCTTAAATAAAAAGATGTTACACTTGTTCATCGACTGTAGAACATCCGCCGTTCCGATAGTACGATCAGTCAATAACCATCCTCTGTAACGTCGCCTTAGAATAACGTCTACTGCGAGACGTGCACAGACAATTGAAAACTGCGACAATCGGGGTTCTACTTTGCTAAATAAAATAAAGGCAGCGGCACTAAACAATGACTACCATATAGTACCAATGAAAATTTTACGAATCTCGGATGTACCTACCTTTGCCCGTGTATCGATCACGACAGCACGGATTATCCGATGGTTGATTAATTGATCAACTGTCCGTCTCGGTGCATTATTCAATAGAAGACGACGGCGAACGGAGCAAGTGATCAAATATTTTCGCGTTCGCGGAACCGAGACGCGTCGAGACGCCGAGTTGGTTTTCGCATCGGCGGTCCCGCGAGAGCATTGTCCCGTTAGTAACGCGTTTTCAATTATTTGTCGACGCGGATTCGCGCGTACATTTGTGTACACGCCTCGGTCGCACCTGACGAAACACGTCGTCGAGCAGTCGAGTCGGAGACGCGGCCGTCTGGCTGTGATAAACTGGTCGACGACGACGGAGAAACGGGGAAAAACCGAGAGAGAGAAAGAGAGAGAGAGCGAGAGAGCGGGAGATCGGGAGAGCGAGAGATCGGGAGAGCGAATGAGCGGGAGAGCGAGAGCGAGAGCGAGAGCGCGGGAGAGCGAGAGATCGGGAAAACGAGAGATCGGAGCGCGAGAGAGAGCGTGAGAGTGAGAGAGCGAGAGAGCGAGAGATCGGGAAAACGAGAGATCGGAGCGCGAGAGAGAGCGTGAGAGTGAGAGAGCGAGAGAGCGAGAGCGAGTGAGCAGGAGAGCGAGAGATCGGGAGAGCGAGAGA